GTGGGTTTTTGGAAAGTTATTGGAGTGACAACAAGATTCTATGGTTTCTTTTTGAATAAGGTTGTAATCTCATAAATAAATGCAACAGTAGTATACCGCTGTTCAAAAGTCATAAATCGATTGAGAGAAAACAAATCCGGGTTACAAACTAACACCGAGGGAAACACATCAACTATAAGAGGAAAAAACGGAACAACAGAAACACTGAAGTGCAACAAAAACAAACGCCATCATACATAGAAACGAACTATTTGATAACAACTGCCATATTCCTGACTTCCTGAAAAAATGGTGGGTTGAACCTGGTTTTATGGCTAGCCAAACCTCCCGCTTACATGGCAATGTTAAAAAATATCGTTAAATGACAACACTACGTGACAGAAATACAGCACAAACAAACGCAAGAACACTCAGCACAGAAAAAAGCACAAATAAATAATATAATAGTCGTTACAACATGTAAACCGCAGAATAACAACGAACATCTTCCATCAACGAAAGCACAGGACATCACAAACAGTGACGTATTTTTGTAACGAATATATAATTTTGAAATTCATACAATTATTTTCACAATACTAGTCCAAACAATTATCATGATATGACGATATCGAAAGGCATAAACATATTTCTTTCATTATTTAATTCGTAATTTCTGCGTACCCACCCTACCTGAACAAATGTGTGTGTGCTTATATACTCTCTTAAATTCTAATGAAATGTCACTTATTATAAATAGGAGGTCAAGATTGATTAAGGCCTTTCCAATTTTTTTTTTTTTTACTTTATCCAGTTTGGGGGTCAAGATTTGTAAATATCATTTTCATGCAGGAAAATCCGGTATGCTGTCAATATGACAGAATCTTGTATTATTTAAATCAGACTAAAATTGTATCAACGAATGTTTTAAGGTTTAGGATCCGTCAATTCCTTACATGTACAATTAAAAAACAAAATGAACTATTCTTTAGAAATTATTTTTGTTTGTTTAGAAAATAGTTACTTATACTATAAATAATTTTAATGAAAGCTTACTGATTGTCGTTGGTAGGACGCCAATTCAAGAAGGGGTGATTAATTGTTAATAGTGTCCAACCAGCCTTTTTTTTTTACTAAGTTTGACGTGCGATGATACTTGAACAGTGTAAATGACATCGTAGAAGTTTTAGGACATTGTGTAAGAACATCATAAGGCTATTTTTTACTGTAAAAAAAGTGACTGTGCCATTTTGTTTTAGATAAGATAAAATTAATTTCCAAAACGTGCTTTTTATATACCTATATGGAGTTATTTTCTTTCAGAACGATAGGTCATTCTTTCGAAGAATCAACCCGGATGATACCATGTTTCAATGAAATATGCTCCAAGGCATAAAATATTGACCTGTGTGAGGTCATTATTTTCCTTGATAAAAATGCAAACTATAATTTACTTCAAAATTTTATTCGTCTGATAGTTTCTGTCGCCGATTTGGGAATTTATTTTTCAAAGTTCAATCTATGATAGGTGTAAAAAAAATCGTCATTGCCCGTATTTTAATTTTAGAAACAATTAATGTGAAGTTTTGTTAATTTATCGCTGCAATACAGAGACATTATCATATATGCGGGATGAATTTTAATGTAAAACTTTCATAACACTTTGAAATAAAGCCAGATTTAACATATTCATGTGTAAGATTTTGAAAATCTTATTGATTCACACTGAATAGGTTGATTTATTGATGGTTACTTAACGTCCAGTGGCAAATATTTCATGCATGTTCAGGACGATATACACTGAATAGGAAATCCTACTGTGACCTACATGTATTGATATTCGTTTTCGTGTAACATGTACATGTATCACGATTTCGTGCACCCTTCGTGTCAGTTCTTAACGTTTTTACATTTATGTATACCTTTTACTCTATCAAATGATTTACTCATAAAATATTCTTATATTCTATTGAATAACATTAACGTACCTCACAATGAAGTCGGGTGGGGGAGGGTATATAATTATATCCTGATTATCTGTTTAAAAAATGTATTGCTATTCAAAAGAAAATCATTCTGAATATTTCATTCGATTTAATTAAAATTGTTGAAAACATAAAAACTTTTCCGCGATAAAATGTCATTACAAATAGACAAAAAAAACATAGCACCTCCACCTTTCCATTAACTAAGTTAGTACAATTAATTACTTACAAAGTGTCTTGTATTTTTCATACACCTTTATCAGATGGTAACAATTCATTTTCTGCTGTTATAATATATCCTCCATCTGACTTTTCTTTGTTTATATGTGTAACTAGCAAGTGTGGACACAGATCAATGTGGATAGAAATAATCATGTTTGACCGTTTTTTTTTAGAAAGTTTATGTGTGGTGTTGCCCTACCAGATGTTTTCTGGGCTTTTTATATATCTTTTTCGAAGGATTTAATGCAATACTGTGTTCCATGGTGATACCCATCTTGGTTTATGATAATTACTAAAACACTGAAAATCATCATAGTGTCATTTAAAATTCCATATTTGGTTAAATTGTACATGAATGTCTCTGTGAAGAATCTATATATCGTTTGCATGGATTTCCAACATGATACTAAGTTATTTTATGTTTCAAAGTGGTGATGATCTTTCTTTTGGAAAGGCACCCAAAAATTCCAAATAAGTAAAGGAACACCAAAGGTGCATGATTTTGTTTTAATTTGAGAAATGTTTTCTGAGATACTGTATGTTTGTATATCTCGTATGGTTTTATTTTGATTCACTGTAGTGGTCATTTCTTATTTTGGTTTGGCAACGAAAACAGAATTAAGTATAGGATCAACCTTGAACAAAATGTATCTTAAGTGCAACATTTAGTTTAAATGTGTGAGATAGTTTTTGAGATAAAACTATGTGTACATATTTAAAATTGCATGTTATTTTTTGTTAAATTGTGGAAGTCATCTGAAATTTTTACCAGCATCAAAACTCAAAATTTGGTTTAGACTTGCTATGAATCATTCTTATTATATTCTAAATCGGTATGCCAAGAGAGTCATCAGAAGATCTTTTCAATTTTATGTAATCATATAATCTATATAAAAATGCTTGTGAGCACTGAAGGGTAAAGATTGCTTTCATTTTGTGAATTTTATATAAATCTTTGAATTGTTTTTAGCTAGGCAAATTGTAAATTTGAGTTAGAGTTTTCTTTTTTGGTTGATGATTGTACACTTGTAGTTAAACACATTTTTATAACAGCTGCATACGCCATGCATCAATTAAGTAATTCATAATAAAAAAAAAGTGTTTTCTTGAAAAGTATGGTAACTAAAATACAAATAATATTTAACTTAAATATCTAAATATAACATATCATCAATAAACTGCATGACATTGACTGGATAGGAACTAAAGAATTATCACTTTACTGCAATATTTCATTTGAACTATCAAAGATAGCAATAAACTTTGGAAGATATAGATATCAAGTCAGTACCATAAAGGTTTTGATTGCATTTCATGCAATCTTTACCCCAAAAATTCAGATTCACACAAAAAATAAAACTGCATGAAGTAGTTTCCAATATGAAGACTCAAAAAAAGTTTGTTTTTAGTTAGAACGAAAGGTTTTGCAGAAGAATAAAATGTGGAAAGTTTACAGACAATACACAAACCTAAGTAGGTGTGCATGCAGAAAGTATTTGTTTCTTGTGTAATTTTAAAAAGATTTGAAGTCGGACTCGGATTCCTTTCAAACTGAGTTTTACTGTCCGTATTACTCTGTGTTTGTTTATTCTACATTGGCAAGAGGTATAGGGGGAGGGTTGAGATCTCACAAAACATTTTTAACCCGCCGCATATTTGCTCCTGTCTCAAGTCAGAATCCTCTAGCCATGTTTAGTCTTGTATGTTTTTTTTAATTTTGGTTTTTATATGTTTCGGAGTTTAGTGTGACGTTCATTTTCTGTGAACTAGAAAAAAGTAAAATAACAAAATTACCGAACTCCAAGGGAAATTCAAAACGGAGAGTCCTTTATAAAATGGCAAAATCAAAAGCTCAAACACATCTAACGTTTGGAAAACAACTGTCATATTCCTGATTTGGTACAGTACACATGTGTGTTTAGGGACCAGCTGAAGCCTGCTTCCGGATTTCTCGCTGTGTTGAAGACCCATCGATGGCTTTGGGCTGTTTTCTGTTCTTTGTTCGAGTTGTGTCTCTTTGACACATTCCCCTTTCCATTCTCAGTTTTAAAATTCAAAAACAAATTTAATTATTCTTTAGAACTTATATTATTTTTGTTTATTAAGAAAATAGTTACTTATATGTGAAATAATTTTAATGAAAGCTTATTGATTATCGTTAATAGGACGCCAATTTATGAAGGCGTGATAAAATGTCAATGGTGTCCAATCAGGTTTTCTATTGTACAAAGTTTGACGTGCGGTGATGCTTGAACAGTGTAAATGACATTGTGTTAGAACATCAAAAGGCTATTTACCACACTAAAGTGATTGTGCCATTTTGATTTTGTTAATACAAAAATTGATTTACAAAAAGTGCATTGTATTCGCTGAGATACATTTCAGTACTAATTTTCACTAGGCAGATGTTGTCCTCGTGTGTTATTTATTGGCAAGTGATACAAATTTATGATAAATCTTGATCTGTTTTACTGCTATTAGCCTTCAGTATAACTGTTTTTTACGTTTTCTTGTGAATTTGTTAGCAATAACGTCCTTGTGTGGCACGTACCAAACATTGAAGTGTCACATTTTAAGAGGCGCTCATTTGTTGTAACTTGTTTGTACACTGAACAATGAAAACAACGGTAATAGTTGTTTTGTCAAGCAAATGTCGGAAATCAACAGGTGATTGGAGTTCCGTATCTAGTAAGCAAACGGAAAAAGTAAAGGAATTAAAATGGGCCTGTGTTTCCGAATGAAAAATATAATGTTGTTCGAATTAGATAAATGTTGATCGACTAGTCATTTATCACGTTTAAAAAAAAACCAATAAAATACAGAATAATAAATTTCATTCAGATCAAACAGTCAACAACATGTACAGATATCTATGTTATCTTTTGACTATCCTATCTGTAAAGAATTCTGTTTTTTCAATACCTACAGGTAAGAAACATTTATTTCTAATTACTAGTATTCACTTGCATTGCTTATTCAAAATGGAATTGAAATTCAAGAGAACATGATGACAATATGCTTTTAATTACAGTTTTTGGATAGCGATATCGTCAGCAGATTTAAGAATAAAAAGTAAAATCACAAAAATACCGAACTCCGAGGAAATGAAATACATGATATAAGATATTCTATGCTAAACTTTCCTTATAATATCAGCCAACATTTAAATTCATCCCTGAAAACAGGATTTTCAAATGAATCGGTGATGTCTAATGATTTTAGCGTGTGTTGTACGAAAATGGTACTTTATATATATATATATATATTTATTCAAACTGGCTTAAATAGTTGGGTTCGGAAAACTAACACATTTTAATTTATCTTTTATAAAATGCTTTCAAAATTAAATAATAGAACAAAAACAGAGTTACATAGTCACAGCTGAATTGTACGATCTGTGTTTAAAAAATCGGTACAAATTTTAATTGCCTTTCTGTAAAGTTATATAATTTACAACCTTGGACTATCATACATTAATATAATAAAAAAAGTATAATGGTCCCAGTTACAAAGTATTCCCTTTTAAATTATATACAGTACATGATAATTGACGTTTGAAGTCATTAACATGAATTTTTTTAGGAAAGATACATTCTGGATGTAGATGAATTATCAAGAACAATTTATTGGTTTTGGTATAAATCTTTATTTTGATACGATTTTCCAAAATCTGAAAATGTTAGGTTAGCTTCAAAGTTGCAACTATACCTTTGCATTCATGTCTGTAAAATTTGACAAAATTAATATATCTTCGATAGTGAATAGTTCTAATCGTGCATTCTCAATGTATTTCACAAAGTTTTACATTTGTCCCCCCCCCCCCTAAAAAATCAGAAAGATTGCAAGATATGCTATTTTATCTTACATTTTTTGTGTGACATGTCTATGTTTTTATAATCAGGGTATTTGTAAAATCACTGAAATTCAGGAGTTTTATCAAATCCCTGATTTTTACTATAAATTTTGCAAATCCCTGAAATCATTAAGACTTTATATACAGATTGAAATAATAAAGTTTTTATTTACGGATTATCTGATTTAATTCAGGGAATTTGTAAAATAATCAATCTTTTTGTGTAAATACTTCTTTGAAGAAAAAAAACAAAAGCCTACAGCAGTTACATTGACAAAGTTCCTATTTGATATATAAGTTGGCAGTGTTTTTTTTTAAGGAAAATTAAAACGTAATATATGGAAACCGGAAAAATATAAGGCAATTAAAGAACATATTGCTAAAGCCCAACATAAAAGATAAAATAAGCTCATATTACTTGATTGGTTTAAGCAATGTCTTCCTGTGCAAAGTAGTAAAGGCATATCAGGAAGACGATTTTGTTATGTGTTGTGATTGTGAACCCTGTTTTGTGCTAGACGGACACTCTGAGCCGAAATATTAACTTACAAGCAAAAAAGTGTCACCCTACCCACGCACATTTTTTCCGATTGGAGATGTGAATAATAAGTTTGCCTGTAGCAAAACAAAACAATCATGTAACAGCAGATGTCACACAATCGTATTATGCAAAAGTGATTAAATTGTAGTTTATTGTAGTTATTGTGGACGAAAAAATGTCAGAGAAAAATGTCAATAACGCCGCAATATAGCTAGTAAGGTTTTGTGTTTTGGACCTGTTTTTCTAATACTGTATGCAACGGGTCAACTAAATTTGGTGTATGAATATTTTGACGATGTACATGTCAGTCTGGCATGTTTTATTTGACCTTGACATCATTTTCATGGTTCATTGGTCAATGTTAAGTTTTCCTGGTTCAGTTGGTTTCTTAGATACTATGTGCGGTAGGTCAACTATATTTAAAGCATATTTGGTGTATGGAATGATTGTAAGGTGTACATGCATTTCTAATTTGGTTTATCTGACCTTGACCTTATTTTCTAGGATAATGTAAAGTTTATGTAATAGTTGAAGTAAAGCTTGATATTTAGGACTATCAACATAAAATCAATGGTCAGTAAAGAATACGAGACATTTCAGCGTGTGCACTCTTGTTATATTAATCAATGCATGAACTTCTTTTTAACTTAACCTGTGAATAAATACACACAGAGAGATATACCGCCTCTTCTGGTAACACATGGCAATAATAAGAAATAATTGTTTTTGGTTTCGTTTAAAATGGTATTATGCAATAATGTACTTACTATTCGAGTGGAAAATATAAAAGAAACCGAATTCGACAGACGTCTTTAAAATCCACATAAAATTCACATTCATAAAAATCGAAATTTCCGTCGTATTTTGAATTTTGGTTTGAGGAGTATAGTCTGACAAATATCCAGGACACTCAAGCTGTATTTAAAGATTTGAGAAAGAAGTAAATTTCCTATTATGTTGCAATTGAATAAATCCGTTTTTTTAGGATTGTCTAATATTTTCAGATTAGAAATTATCGATTCTATGTTAAACTAGATGCAGGAACTATACTTACTAACACTGAGTTTATTTTTGTCTCGCCTGCGTCGAAAGTCACGGAAAGTGAGACATAGGGATTGCTTTTCCGGCGATGGTGACGGTGACGGCGACGGCGATGATGACGAAGGCGTCAACAATTTTTTTTTCTGCTTTAGTTAGTTTGATAGGAACTACTTACAACCGAAAATTATATTTTCTATATAAAGTTACATTACTGTCCGTACATCTCAGTTTGTGAACCATTTCAAGGCCCTGCCCACTAATTCATGGTCCAGCGACTTTGAATTAATTATCATTGTTAATGTTCATCGGATTGTCTTTTTCTGAATTTTATGCGGACAGGCGAGACATATCTCTGTGTCAACAGTTTCTTAATAGATTAAAACATAACTAGATACGTATTGTTACACAGTTATGAGCACAAATGGTCTTACACCCTGACGATACTTATATTTTGGCATCGCACAAGGTTATGCTTTTCTAAAGTTGTTAAGATGTCCACTAATGATATTATAATTCCACTTTATGGGACGGGGCTCAGTATATTACATTAACCTTGCCCGTCCGTCCTTTGTTGTATCAGACATTTCGGATTACAAATGATGTTCGATGTATAATTTGTATGGTGTTCAAGATTTTTGAAAATTAGCATAGCTAGTGACGCTGTTTTACACCAGGCTGCTTATACTGTTGAAGGATATTTGTTATCCAAAATATTCATTGAATTTTGTATATTTTGTTTTATAACGATCCGATAACCACGTAAGACCTATTGTTGACTATTATCTAGACTTTCTATATATAAAAATCTAGACTTGTACTGAATGATGTACATTTTTATTTTAGTGTCTTCCAATTGGTGGCAGTATCCGTATCCATATGACGTACTCTCATTAGCGGCATCACAAGCAAAACTCCAACAGGAAAATTTAATTGACAGTTACACAGAGAGCACAGAACAATCCTACGGTCAAAGACGATTTAGAAACTGTTTGGATCCAAAGATTGGTATTTTGTTTACAAGCACTTTCTGAAGAAATGAATTTATGCTCCATTGACACCAAATACTTGTATACTCTGTCTTTTTCTGTTTTGTTTCTTTCATACTGCATTATAACTATTATTTTTCTAGGAATCCCCTAATACCTTTTGATAAATAGAAAAGTCTGGCTAAACCTCGATAAAACAGTCATCCAACAGTACACACTAAAGCTGTAAACGCTTCTTGTGTATATATAACACACAGAGAGCTATACCGCCTCTTCTGGTAACACATGGCAATTATAAAAAAGACGTCTTTAAAATCCACATAAAATGCACATTCATCAAAATCGAAATTTCCGTCGTATTTTGAATTTTGGTTTCGTTAAAATTGTATTATGCAATAATGTACTTACTATTCAAGTGGACAATATAAAAGAAACCGAATTCGACAGACGTCTTTAAAATCCACATAAAATCCATATTAATCAAAATCGTAAGGTATTGTTGATAATACAATGTATATTGTGGATGATTTGTATTTAAAGCAAATGTGTGTAAGCTGTCAAATTCCCATTTTTGAAAATATTACTATCTAGTATGAAAGAGTGTTCTTAAGTAGTCAAATAGGGGACGTCTTAATCAAGTTCTTGAGATCATCGTTTAGGACCTTTCAGTATTTTTTTTTTAAATAGCCATTTCAAAGTACAACATTTAAATTATTTCATGTTTTAATGAATTCCTATCAGGAAAGATCCAAAGTTTTGTTATAATTAAATAAAAAACGCGTATTTAGATATAGTAAAGCCATTATCATTGACGAGAAGCATTTTATATGCCAACTCCTTCAGATTTCGGAAGAAGTACAACTATCCATTGTCTCTAGAAAATGTTCCCATTAGTAATGGATAGCTTCAAATGTTAGCAGATCAAGTAGTTTACACCAAATAAGATCCACTTCGCCTGGCTTATATTTAACTACAAATAGAAAAAGGACCCAAGCATATCAGTTTGTCTCGTGCTTTATCCTCAAATTTAAAAAAAAGATAGAATTATAATTCCCTCGCTAAAATACCATGTATAGATGTAGCTTGTGAAATTATTTAAAATCACATTTAGTCATTGCAATAAAGTATATTTAAGGATTTTAATAACATATCGTCTTACTTGAAACATTATTGGTATCTTCAAAACTTCATTATCCAGGAAACCATAAGTATTTCTACACATATGAGTACCTTGAACCACCTCTTTGATTTTGCAAACAAGATATCCCTGACAGTACGTTATGAATGCCCCCGTCTGCAGCCTTTTGGTAAAAAGTAAACCGGAATTTCAACTTGAACGGAACCGACATTACAAAAAAATAAATTCCGGACAAGTACAATATTCATGTAGTCTTTCAAGTCCAAGTGCCGTAATTCTTCCAAAAGTAGGTTAACTGAAACAAAACCAAACTCGAATCAGTAAGTCATCATTTCTTTTTTGATCAAATAAGGTCATTACTTATTTCATCATATTTATATACCACGTTATTCTTACTTTTAGAACAGTATTTCAAGTCTGATAAAAGTATTCAATTTCTACTAGTATATGACATTACAATATTTTATTTTGCAAGATCCTAGCATCTGACAAAAAAAGAAGATTTTGAAAAACGTATAGCCCAATTCAAGAGAATATGCTACCATCCCTTTATTTCTATAACAAAAGATGTTAATGATGTCGAAACGATACATTGGGCTTTAAAATGAATACAATGAATTAATATTTAGTATGACAAATGTAGAAGTATGAACACTAGGTTAATTTATAGTTTGTCCCTTTGTTTAAGTTAAGTACTCGACTTGCACCGAAAACTTTATTTCTTCAGGGAAACTAGGAAGAAAAGTTCGATATGGTTGTTCCAAGCGCCGCAATAAATCCAGACGATTGAATGGACTATGTAACGATTTTGAAAACCCAGCATCAGGAAGTCTTTATTATCGTTTTGGTGAGTTATTAGTGCGGATTCGCATAATTGCTTATAATGTAACAAATTTGTTTTCCCCTTTTTTGTCCCTTGTGCAACGTTTTTGCGGGGATTTAGAAATACCGGGCGTCTGTCCGGTCTTGTTAGCGCTCTCACGTGAACAATTTTTGCCGGATTTTTATAAAACTTATATCGTAGACTTATATCAGTAATGTCTCGGACCAGTTAGAAAAATTAGTGTCGATAAACTATTTTTAAAAGAGTTGTGCTCCTTGGAAACATTATTTATATGGAAAATTACATCGTTAGCGCTCTCATTTGTATAATTTTTTCCAGATTTTCATGAATTTTATATTGTATGTTCATATCAGCAATGTATTGGATGAGATCAAAAATCAGTGCCGAATAATCAATTTTCAAAGAGTTATCCCATAGCGACATACCGAGTCTAATGTTTAACTTGCTAGCTCACAAGTTCCTTCTAGAGCCAAATATTGATATCAAAAATACAATATTTTCTTGCGCATCAGATCTTTTTACGGACGAAATAAAAATTGGCAACTTTTAATTATCATTTGGTAGTAAAAAGTGCATTTTTATTTTACTATTATATATGCGTCACGAATTAAGTATGTTCGCTACTCTGTTTCAAAATAACAAGCTTTTTAAAAGAATGTTATAAATTGATAGTATACAAATAAAGGAACTAAAAAAGCGTAAAAAAATGAAAGGTCAATGTGCTTGTTTTCGAGATATAAGCAATTGAAAATTTGGCGGGAAATAATTCTCTTAATTTAAACTATATGTAATAAAATTATGAAAAGAAAAATAGGGGTTAGCAGGCAAAATTTTTATTGGCACTAACATGGATAAAACTAGAGGATTCCAAATATCTGACAAAAAGACAAAAACAAGAGTAGCGAACATTCTTAAGCAACTAAAATAAGAATAAATTGAGTCTAGACAAAAAGGAACAATTTTAATGACATTGGAACTGTATTGGAAATAAGCTGCAATTGTTCGTCGACGTTCATCATTAATTCAGTAATAATTACTGGAATAAAAATGAATCTGGTTTGTTGAAATTAAACGATTAGGTAACAGTGACACACAATTTCGTTTCGTCTTTGCATGTAAGTACTAGAATGAATATTTGTTACGTCACTAAATTCCAGATTATTCTAAAGTTGCGAGAATTTGACAAAGGAAAATGCATATGCAAATAAACGCTTTTAAGAGTAGCTAACAACATGCGCAATATAAACCATATCTCTCTCAATTGGAGCCAAGGGTTATACCTGAAAGTTCAGAAAATTCGTCCCTTTGGTATTCTAAATACTTGTACATTCCATTCGTTTCTACAGATATTCATTTTTTTTCTCATTTATTCCGTTCTTATTTTTCGAGAACTTTTTGTTTGAACTTAGGTGGATAGTTGTCTCATTGGCAATCATACCTCATCTCCTTATTTTATATACAGCAACCATCAATTAAAAACTGAAATTAGTTGTTTCGTCATTAATGAAAATAATTAAAAATAATGGTTAAAATAAAAAATGACAATCTAAATGAGTCGTGTTTCAACGGTTATGATTGGTATATAGTTCTACCGTTTCAGAAATATAAACAGAAGTTTTTTTTTTTAATTTAAGGCAGAAATGTTCCCCTGAATGCCACAGTTAGAGATGAGAAGAATTTGTACAACCCTAATCCCCGTGACATAAGTCGTACTTTGATGAAGAGGAAGACATTTATTCCGGTAACCATTGTTAATATCCTTGTAGCTGGATGGGTACAGTTTATGACCCATGATTGGTTTGACAGTGGCAAAAACGACAGGCGCAGGTATACATTTTAGAATACGTTTAAAAAAAGTATACAAAAAAAAAAAAGAAGAAAAACCTACAAACTTACATCAATATCGTTAATACCAAGAAGTGTATTTTAAGTTTAGGGATTAAGTTCAAGCACATAATGTTAATTTTTTGTCAAAGTTTTTCCAACACTGTCTGAGAATAATGTCCTATTGTACCATTAGCGTAACCTTTTTTGTTAATCAAATGATAGCAGGAGCATTGTAAAATCATCAATATCTTTGACAAAAGTACAAACCAGATTTAGGTGATCTCGTATACCCCTGCTTGCAGCATACTCTTAAAAGAATACGTTCATTCTGTCAAATCGAACTTGCATATTATGGTTAATGATAATGATATTGATTTTAGATTCGCAAACATTTTGTCCAGTAGAATATTTACTATCACCCAGGAAAAAAAATCTAAATCTAAATTCAAATTAAGGGGCATAACTATTAATCAGTAAATGTCAATTCTGTCAAAAACGAACGTCTTTTGTAGTTTATTGTCCTTGACATTATGTAAGAATTGCGTTTAGGTACAGTATTCGACCATCGATTGATTCGACAACAGTTGATTTTTTCTGCATTTTTAAAGTCAATTCAGTTAAAAAGAATGTATTGAATAGACAACTTAACGATCGATTAATTCAACAAATCTTAAACGAACCCGACGATCGGCAACGATTGAATAACATTTGTTGAATCAATCAACTCAACTGATTACCATCGTTTGTTGAATCAATCAACTGAATTTGTTTACGATGATCACTCAATAGTAACGATAGATACGATCGATAATAATTGAAAAACATATGTGAATCAATTAACTCAATTTATTCATGATGAAGACTCAATCGTAACGATATATACGATCGATAACGATTGAACGTCATATGTCGAATCAATCAACCTAATTTGTGTAAGACGAATTCTCAATCGTAACTATCGATAACAATTGAACATCATCTGTCGAATCAACCTTCACAGTTTGGTTATTACCACTGATCAATCGTAACGATCGATAACGATTGCACGTTATATGTCGAATCAATCAACCAAATTTTTTTATGGTAACTATCACTACGATCGATAACGATTCAACATGATTAGTTATACTATATATACACCGCAAGCACAGGGAAGATTTCTACGACTATTAAACGACACAAGAGACAAGTTCTGTCAAAATAATGTGTAAGAATGGATATGATGAACATATTAACCAGGACACACAATCGCAAAATGTTCATAAGTTGCGGCACAGGAACAGCGCTGTTATTGTTTTTCTATATCTTGAAATATTTTAAACACAGAGAAAAACATTCTCACCTGAATTCCACTTTAAAGACGGTCCCTAGCACCTGTTTGAGCGGAATTTTTTATTAAGTCGCCAGCGTCACAACTGTACCATTGAAGACGCCCAGAAACGAGGCATTATCAACAGGTGAATGAGTATTGCGGGGATAATACAATATTCGCTTCCGGTTTCTTGGATCATGCAATTTTAAAGGGCATAAGTTACCAAACATTATTCCAATCAGTATGAAACTAAAAATTGATCTGTGCACTGACATACCAAAAATCAATAAAATATCTGAAAAAAATTGCCAAAAAAGTCCGGAAAACTGATAACCTATCAAAGTTCACTGACATACCAAAAAAATAATTTAATATCTGCAATCGTTTAGACAAAAGTCATGAAAACAGACTGCGTGTGACTGATGGACGGACGGACGGACACAAAGAGTGCCAAACTATAGTCCTCTTTGGCGATGCCGGAAGGGGACTAACAATCAGTTAACAATGAAATCTATAAAAGAGATATGTAATTTTTCTTTATCCCTTTGTTACTTAAGGGTCAGGCTATATAAAATGTACCATAGGCTGTGTCAATGTGCCATCTAGCACCGTAGGCTGTGTCAGTGTGCCTTCTAGCGCCGAAGGCTGTGTCAATTTGCCTTCTTATGTTGTAGGCTATTCAATGTGCCACCTAGTGCCGTAGGCTGTGTCCATGGGTTAGAGTTATGTCAGGGATAGAGTAAGGATTAGTATATGGCTGTATCAAATATGCCATGTACTACTGTAGGCTGTATCCTTGGTTTTTTGTCTATCAGTTGTCTTACACAAAACAGAATTGACTGCGTTGATTTATCTCATACCATCGTTTATAATATGAAGATATTAAGTTAATTGAGTTGATTATATTGATTAACATTGGCACAATTGTATCGTTGAATACTTGCCAACTAAAGATCCATTAATGTACAAATTAAATAGAATTTAGATATTTAGATAATTTTTGGGTTCCAATCAACTGTAAATATACATGTTTTTGAGGTGCTTTGTTCATAATATGAAGATACAGTTGACTGGATTGATAACATTGATCAACCGTGACACAATCGTATCGATTGAATACGATCGTAGCGCTAGGTTCATTATATTAATATAGAGTTGAGTGAGTTGATTATATTGATCAACCGTGGTACAATCGTCACGATTGAATACGATCGTGCTACGTTCATAATATTAATAAAGAGTTGATTTAGTTGATTATATCGATCAACCGTGGCACAATCGTATCGATTGAATACGATCGATGCGATCATGCTAGGTTCATAATATTAATATAGAGTTGCTGATTATATTGATCAACCGTGGCACAATCATATCGATTGAATACTCCGTTTTTACTATGAAGATACAGTAGACAGAATTGATTATAATGATAGTACAGTTGACTGAGTTGATATATATCCTGACATGAAAAAAGTATGTTAATTTGGTACAACAATTGATTGAATCGACAAAATGATACGATCGAATACAGTTGACAATATATTTATACTATAAAAAATAAATTGTCGATACAATCGTTTGTCAAATACTAGCATACTCAGAATTGAAAACGATTCAGTCTAGTGGTATTTTATTATTATCTGGAAATTTAAAAAATATCACTTTTTAAGATAACCTGTATAGATCATGACTTTGTGTTAGAACAAAAAGATTCAGTAAAGTGGTTACTTAAGTTATGATAAGAAAAATCAACTGTTTTAGATAATTATTAGGAATAACTCCTGTACGGTAACTGCCAAAGCTGTCAAAATTGAATTTGACTTTTAATTTATGAATCATAACATTATTTAAAAATCGGAAAACATTTAGGGTAGTGTTACTTAGATTTTTATCCGAAAAAGAAAAAAAAAATCCAATGTTTAAGATATCTATATGACATTTCTCTTACGCGATAAATACCAAAGTCGTATCAATCAAACTTGAATTTTAATTTAAGAATCATGACATTATGTTGTATCGTACATTCGTAGACATTTTAATGTTCCTGTTCGAGATGATGATCCAGATTTCTGTGATACAATGGAGATACCTATGACCAGACCAGACAGCTGCAGAAATTCTAAAGATTACGATACCTACCAAAATACTGTAACACACTGGTGGGATGCATCACAGTTATATGGAATTAGCAAAAAAATAAATCGTCGTATCCGCACAAGAAAAGACGGAAAATTAAAACTAACTTCAAAAGACCGTCTACCGATTAATCCATCGACTGGATTGCCAATTACGGGTTTGTATATGTTTATCACTATCAAATCTAGAATTTATTTCCCAGGGTCTGGCTGGGGTTTACAGAATGGAGAATAATGAGGGAGAGAGAAATGGGTCAAAACAATTAATAAAGACTATCTAGAGAAAAATGTACAAAAAAAAGAGAATAATGGGGTGCTAAATTATGAACAAAATAGGGAATAACGGTCAAATATTAAAAATTAGATAATGTCCTACAACTAAAGAATTTAGAAATGTAGACTCTCGTTTAGACCCTCATAAAGGCCCGAATTGGAAAAACTTGCTGATTATTAAATGAAATCAGTTGAAATAATAGATCCTGATCAATCACAGGTATAAATTACGAATTTGTCATGGTTCAAACTGTACATATAAAATCACGATCTTATTTTTTTCTACAATTCTAAGATTTCAACTTATATATAATAATGCTAAAAAATTGTATTTGTAGACAAAAACTTAGCACTATAATTATTAATCTTATATTTTAACCGTTATGTACAACAAAATGACATTCATTAAAAGATGAATTTTATAACATTATAATCATGATCTTAATTTTAGGAAGTTCCTTAAATTGGTGGGTAGGACTAGGTATATTTCACGTAATTTGGACGCGAGAACATAATTACGTATGCAATATGCTTAAAGAACGAAATCCAACTTGGAATGATGAAATGTTGTATAATACGGCAAGACTCATTATTGCTGCAGTAATTGCTAAAATTCATACGCTAGAATGGACAACTGCTATCCTGCAAAATGATGTTGCTAAGTTGGGACTAAAGTCTAACTGGTATGGAGTAACTCCTATTGAGATTGCAAGGGGAAATGCAACCTTAGCAGCATGGTTAACCATACAATTTCCTCAGTTTTCTAACGGCGTACCGGGAGCTGTAGGTATGCAAACATTTTATTTGTGCATATTAGTACTTTCTTTCAAGTCCTCACGTGAAAAATATATCATAAAAACTAGCTACAATAATATAATTTTATAAAGCAACAAAGAATGTATATAAAATGCAGGCTGTTTTAATTTTCTTGCGTTTTTTTCGACTGTAGGAAACTTAAAAGATTATTGTACAAAAAGGAGTTATGGTTAGTCTTGTTAAACACTTTTTTCTATTAATTTTGCCAGACTGATGTCTTTAGGTTTATTCATGATAGGGACATGAGTAGTAAGCTGTACATTGCTTTAGTAAACATATAAATCTTGGTGCCAACGATGATAATTTAATACAAATAAATAGGAAATACGAAAAACAAATAAAATTTCATAAAAATTACAATGATTAATTAAAAAAAAAATCAAACATATATCCACTAACCGAGTTCCTGTAGTTTCAAACATGGAAGCGATAATGATGTCATAAAGATTCAGATTCAACGTTTTTAATTTCCATAATAAAAAAAATACTAGTTCTTTTAAAATCACTCTAAGCGAAAAAATAAACTGATTTGTTTTTTTTAAATGTTTTTTTTTGTTTTTGTCTTAAATCAGGCCGTTAGTTTTCTCTTTTGAATTGATTAATGTCGCATGTATCAGGTTCTTAAATGTTATGTCTAACTAAATACGGTATGTGTTTTGTCCATTGTTGAAGCCGTAGGGTGAACTATAGTTCATTGGCACACTCATACCACATTTCCGTTTTTTATGAATATTAGTGTTAAACATTTGGATTCGCCCAAGCTGAAAAGGATCGAGACGAAGAAAGAATCTTCTGATATGCCTGCATCGCAGGTCAAGCAATTTCTATGTTCAACACATTCATCTGTCAAAAGCAGGGTTATGACAAAACTAGTTATAATGCTAAATCGACATAAGTTGTGATGACATATGGGAGAGTTAAACATGTAGACGTAAAACTGTTGCTATTGAGTTGAGAAATTTCCAGCGACATTGCCGTCAGATGCAATATTTTGGTCAGTTTAAATTATTTCCCTCTGTAATTAAGAGTTAAACTTAGCAGGTTTGTTGGTCACCAGCTGTCATACATGGCGGCCATTAATGCTTCAAATTATATCTTCGATGAACACATCTCTTTTTAATTATATCTGGTCAATAATATGACCACAGTAAACACTTCTCGATTGTTTTAGTCAATTTTCATTGTTTCTTCTTTAACCTTTTAGAAAATAAAATAAAAATTGTATAAAAGGCCAATTTGTCAGAGAATATTCTCTAATTGGTCAGATTGTGGCGAATTTTAACAAAGACTAAGAAAACAGTATGATTTATATAGACTGTTTGTAGACCTCATACATATCTAAAGTTTCACAAATATTACAAAACTTATAACATCTGATTTAGGAAACCCGAAAAACATTAGAGGAGTTCCATACTCGCTTACACAAGATTTCATCGCCGCATACAGATTACATCCACTATTACCAGATGAATTTGTAGTAAGAAGTCACCAAACAGATGAATTAGGTAAGAACTGATTTTTTAAGAATTACCATTATCAAAAATAATTATGAACGCATATTCTAATTCAATCCATTATCACCAAAATATGAAGTTAGACAATGCGAAGATAAAATAAGTCAAGGTAGTGAATAAGGAGTTCTTATTTATAGTTTTATACATACGTCAATTATTTATATATTCTATTACACATATTCCAGTTAACCGATACAACATGAAAGATACAGTATTTGAGAAGGCAGAGTCAGTTTTTGAAGAAAACTCAATGGAGGACTTAATTTATACGTTTGGCAATGATTATCCTGGTGCAATGACTCTCCACAACTATCCAAATTTCTTGAGAAATCTTGATCTACCTAATACAAGTCCTCATGGAAAAGGAAAAGTAGACTTGGCTACAATTGATATATTACGTGACAGGGAAAGAGGAATCCCGAGGTATGTATGGTTAACAGAATACGAATATATACATGTCCGCTGGTCGTTTTCAATGAATTTTAAAAAATATACATAACAGAAATCAGTCTTTTAATAATGGGAACTATTTGCCGTGTCCACAAACAGACCTGAAAGCATTTGACATAATTATAGTAACAATTATACTTATTTTTCTGAAGTACTTAAGCGGAATCGGTTTGTCTTAGTTATTTGAAAGATAACATTTTATTATACATTCAGCATAAGCTATGTCCTGCAAAAAAAATTCTGAAATGCATGCACGTGGAACTTTAACATGAGCAGATCGCTAAAACACTCAAAACATTACTTGCCTGTTGAAATACAAATGAACAAAACGGGGGAAAATGGATTGACCTTGTCATTGAAAGTGACACCAAGAAAGATTATTTCATTTTACTAAGAAACAATGCTTAGAACGGAACAATAGGATAACCAGCATATAGGTCTATGTACTACTGTAAATTGTATTTAATGGTTAATGTCTGTCATTTTTATGTTTATTTCAGATACAATGCGTTCAGACGGCTGTTCCATATGACACCGATCACCACATTTGAAGATCTCACCACAAATCCAACTCATGCCAAAGAACTTCGTCATATGTACAATAATGACGTAGAGTTGATTGATTTCCTAATTGGATCACTTGCCGAATCACCACTTCCTGAGGGTTTTGGGTTTAGCGACACTTTCTTCAGAATTTTTACTATTATGGCTCGAAGAAGAATGGAAGCGGACAGATTTTTTACAGACGACTACACTTCTGAATATTATACTCAATGGGGCATTGACTACATAGATGCTACTTACATGAAAGATATATTAATCCGCCACTATCCTTCGCTTGCTTCACAACTGCAACCAAATGTTGCAAACGTCTTTATTCCTTGGAAAAGTCAAACATCACTTGACAAAAATTTTCCTTATCCTTTATATTAACTTGAAATATCTGTTCGGATGAAGTTCGTTCAATATACTTCGCAATTTTGATGAGGATAAGGAAAGCATTTCCTTAAAATTTAGTGAAAGTGAAAGATATCTGTTGCTAATCATATATACTGTATTACTTGACTGCTTTGATGGAACAATTATAATGACAATAGATTCTTTATTTTCAGAAAGTGACACAGTTAACAAAACCGTTAAAACAGCATGTGGTCTTCAACATTTACATATCAAAAGAATCCTTTTATAATATTCTGTCAATAAAGATTTATTTTCCTTCTTAGAAATTTCTTCAACAAATCATGTAAATACAGATTTTTCTTTTAAACCATCATCAAAACAATATTAACATTACTCCTATTTTATCACAGTACTTTCCCCAATACAACACTGGTAGATTTGGAATAAAGTTCATTCATTCGTTGCTTTCAGTAAAATTTGGTTATATCGTCAATTGTTCCAAATATCGTTAACCTTGACCCATCTACTGTTAAAATAATATGAAGTTACGTTCTGAAGGTAAGATCATTCTCTCTACTGATTTTCATTGTACTTTTAGGTACCTTTTATTTTTTTCTCCTCCGAAATTTACAAAAAAGGAGGGATGCGATAAAAACAAATTAAAATTTAACCCCTATACATTTCATGGACCTGTCCAAAGTCGTGAAAGTCGTCTTTTTTTAAATTGGAACGGGTGGTTTTTTTTTCACCTGAGGGCTTTAGTGTTGATGGCAGATGTCCAATAGTCTTTGTTACTTTTTTCACTACTGTTGTAGACGTGAGGCGATATAAACCTTGACATTGAATAAACATTTTTTTGTTGTTGAAGACCGTATGTTGAACTGTAGATATAAAAATATAGAGATGTTGTATGATTGCCTAGATAACAGACGTCAAGATAAGAAAGCTGTTGGACCCTTTTTGATTTTACGATCGCTTTCGGGTCTTTCATGTATCCCAAAGTTCGACACTACAGTTAATGAGCAATAAAGCAATAAAAATTCACGTTATTAAAACTGTCAAATTCCCAAGATGCTGTCATACTTCAAAGAAAATTCGTTATTGTTACAGTCCACAAGACTCCTTACAATATCGTTTTGACTTGAAACGATTTGATGGCTAAATACAGGTTTTGTTTGTCCGCTTTGTTTCACCAGGCGATTCAATGAGCAATAAAGCAATAAAAATTCACGTTATTAAAACTGTCAAATTCCCAAGATGCTGTCATACTTCAAAGAAAATTCGTTATTGTTCCAGTCCACAAGACTCCTTACAATATGGTTTTGACTTGAAATGATTTGATGGCTAAATACAGGTTTTGTTTGTCCACTTTGTTTCACCAGGCGATTCACAGCACATTTAAAAATCATACATGTAACTTGCCAAAGGGTTGCTACTTAGACATTGAAGTCAGCCTTGTCCTTCGACAAGTATGTCATTGACCAAAAAAGACCTCCTGCTTAATTATTGGACACAAAAACTGTACAATTCTCCTAACAAAAAATGTATTGGTGAATTTGTCAAGTACACCACTTAATCTCATCAAAACTATACTAACACCATTTGAAGAAGAAATTTTCCTTTACTGTGGTAAGTTTTACTTCAGTGGTGTGATTTAGATGCTATTTCTCTAAAGCAAAACAAAATGGAAATTCCTATCAAAAACTTCATTTCCGCAGAAGTATTGAAATAATTGACTTTTCTACACTGTATTTTCCTAATTTTCATGATATTAAGATATAATTACATTGTAATTCACCACAGAGAACGTATATATGTCTGGCTTTTGGAAATCAGTCCAGGAATCACCGATTAAAAAAAAACTAGAAATAGAATGTGAGAATGTTAAATCGATGACGTCTTTGCTGAACATATTTTCCAACAAACAATTGCCAAGCCAGTGGCCATAACTGCGCATCTATTTTTATTTATATATTTCTTTACTCATATGAAGCAGGATACATCCAAAGAATTATACAGTACTGGAATGATTCGAAACCTGCAATTTGACTCATTATTCTTTTTGAATATCACAACTTTTGTTAAACTTAAGTTTCCATTCCGTAGCAACCATTCTTGTTCCCTTTTCAACACATTTGACAAATAAGAATTAACTGCATGCCTACGTCGGTTTCCTTTAAAATGCGTTTGTGTGTTTGTCATTCCAACGCTTACAGTCCGATACAAACCTACATTTATTTAAAGTATGTTTATAGAGAAGATACTAAATTGAAGGATAATTGATGTAGTTGTTTTGGTAAGTAGTATATTTTGTCTTATAGTTGACATTTTTACCGTAAAACGATGTGTAGGTTATGAAAACTTCCTAACTACGCTCTGTGCAGAAGTTGACCTAATATTCTATTTTCAAAATTTTAGCAAAACCTTCAGTTTATATTTTATTCTCGTCTGGTTTAATATTCTTTTTTACTTTTAAGATTTTACAAAACGAACTTTTCGGTTGACCTTGTGGCTATTTTCCTTAATTTGATAGCTAATTGTGTAATAATTATTCACAGATAGCTACTCACAAGACGTATAATATAACTTTCTTAAATTCTCCGTTGATAGATTTAGAAATTTATCAAGAAACTAAGTATCCAACTCCCTCCGGCAAATATAAACTAAGATGTATTTGGCTATTCTTTTAATGTCTCTTTTTCACTTGTTCGTTGATTGATAGCATTTGATTTTGTCAGTTTTTATAGACTTCCCCTTTTTGAATTTGCCTTGGATTTCAATATTTTAATTTTACTTTTTGGTCATATAACTTCCACGTTTTAAGATAAAAGCGCTTAAGACAAACAAAATATTTAAAGTATTTTTTAAGTTGGTCTGTCATTTAACTCGTAAATTGAAGTTTTTTTTTTGTCTGCCTTTCAGATTCTTTGTTGGTTTTACTTGTGATGTCTCATTGTACTTTAAAAATCTATGAAAATATAAAAATTTTATGATTTATATTACTTTCAGACAAATAAAAGTATTATCGGTACTGATTTTAAAACATACTTTTCAATTGACTTAATAGAAAAATTTATGTTCGCACTAGAAGAGTGATATTTGCTTTACGCGCCTGACCAAAGTCATTTGCCAGTTATTCATGGTTTTGCAAATGGTTGCTGTGTGTCGTATTTGTTTTTCGTTAATCGTTATGTAATATATCTCGGTTGAATTGTGTCATGTTGGCTACTTTTATATCTTACCATACGACATTGGTTTTGCCCATTGTTAAATGCCTCGTACCGTGCTCCCTTGGTGTTTATTTCCACGTCATTTGGAGTTTTGTCTCATTTCAAAGTCTCTGTCATACCACATCTCCTTATCTTTATAAGCATAGTCAAGTTAATAAATAAAATAAATATGATACTTCAAATCAAACAATAGATATAAGAAGATGTCGTATGAGTGCCAATGAGACAACTCTCCATCCAAGTCACAATTTGTAAAAGTAAACCATTATAGGTCAAAGTACGGCCTTCAAAACGGAGCCTTGGCTGACACCGAACAGCAAGCTATAAAGGGCCCCAAAAATGACTAGTGTAAAACCATTCAAACAGGAAAACCAACGGTCTAATCTATATAAAAAACGAGAAACGAGAAACACTTATGAACCACATCAACAAACGACAACTAATGAACATAAGGTTCCTGACTTAGGACAGGTGCAAACAAATGCAGCGAGTTTAAACGTTTTTATAGGCGACAACCTTCATCCTAACCAAAAACAATAGTGTAACATCGCAACATAGAAAGACACACTATTAAATATCAATTGAAATGGATTAACTCAATCAAAAGACATATTAACAAAAACAAGTGAACAGACACTGAACGAATAAATTTGATCTATGACACAATGTAAATACAAAATTAATAAAAAAAAAGGGGTGTGTGTGATGTACAACAATATCAGAAAGACAATCATAACCTTGGACAAAATGCCGCCAAATAAAATAACGTACACATTTTATACCAAGTACACTTCATGGAAGTAGATTAGGAATTTCACCAACAAAGAAACGTAAATTAACAATAGAAAAGCAGTAGTCGTCCATTTCGTCTTATACTTTGTATGGAAAGTTCCATGACCTATTATAATATCAGGGTAAACATAGGACCTCTAGCACTGAAAACATAAAAGTAAGGCAAGTCTTGTATTATAAACATCTCCTAGAACACACCCATGAGGGTCCGGGACTAAATAAAGTACCTAAGCCTTATTTCAAGCCTGAAAATTTGGTATTCGTACTGTCATTTGATAAATCATGCTGATTGTAAGGTGCACAGTTTTCATTGCTTTCCAAATCTTTTTGTTTGAACCCGTCCTGGTTTTCTTACTACAAAAAATAAAAGCAACAGTAGTATACTGCTGTTCGAAACTCATAAATCGATAGAGATAAAAACAAATCCGGGTTACAAACTAAAACTGAGGGAAACGCATCAAATATAAGAGGAGAACAACGACACAACAAAAACACAACATTTAAATGTAACACACACAGAAACGAACTATAATATAACAATGGCCATTTTCCTGACTTGGTACAGGACATTTTAAGAAAAAAATGGAGGGTTGAACCTGGTTTTGTGGCATGCCAAACCTCCCGCTTTTAATGCAACAACGTCAAACACAACACCAAAACGACAACATCACATGACAGGACCACAATACAAATAAAATGGGAGAACATATAGGACAAAGAAACACACGAATAATAGCTAGCAGAAGGTACTAGGCTTAAAATTCAATACGCCAGACGTGCGTCTCGTCCACACAAGACCAACCAGTGACACTCAGATGAAAGAAGTTTGAAAGCCAAAACAAGTACAAAGCTGAAGAGCACCGAGGACTAAAACTTCCAAAAAGTTGCGCCTAACACGGCCAGGGTTTTCTGCCTGGGACAAGAACATCCTTATTATTTAGAATAATTTATAATTTTGAAAACAGTAAATTTTATAAAATGACTTTATAATGGATATACATGATAAAACCGAAATGGGGACTAACTACAGAATAAAAACGGATACATTACATAAAACAACTTAATGCAACATATAAAAATACACAACCGAGTTAGCCAAAGCCTCAACGCACAAAGTGACGTCACATTTGAAATTCTAAAAAAACACACAAAGTGACGTCACATTTGAATTTGTAAAAATATTTCCCAAAAATAAGATAGGATTAGGATTGATTCAGGATTAGATTTGTAATACTGCCATTACATTTATTAATAACAATAAACTTATTATAAACTAAATTTTATTTGATTTTCTAAGTAATAAACCAAAATTAATAGTGGTATTGAGTTGGACGAAAATAGACTTGTTTAAAATTTGTACTATAGTGTAACATAG